GGTTAAGGTTGCTGATGTAAAGATTGTGCTAGTTAATAAAGTGCCAGTTTAGCACTGGATCATTAAGTCTGTAAAGCAGATAAATTCCAGCTCCTATATGGTGCAGGGGTGCCCCCTTCTCACTACAAGGAACTGTAGCGATTCTCAGTGTTGGCAAAGAAACATGTGAAAAGTAAATGATTAAGCACCGTTGGTCCATGTAGAAATACAACCATGGATAGCCCATGGATAACACTTCTTTCTTTAGTGTAAGGAACTGTTGTTTGTTTCCTGGTCTGGGCTGTTATCAAATGAAAGATATAATAAATCACAATCGTTAAAGCCAGAAAAAATATGTTGTTGTTTTTTAAATCCCCCAGCAACTCAGCATCGTGTGCACAGCATGTCACAACTGTTTTTGCAGTTGCAACATGTTGGGGGGGAAAAAAGGAAATGGAGATCCAATAAGTCTGACAAATTAGGTGATTATTTTACCTTGACGAAATCAAGACTGCATAGTTTGGCTTTGGAGCCAAACTGCCATTTGCACTGTGTGTCTGCTCCATAAAGCTGCCCGGGAAGCTCTTCAGGATACTTGTACTGACCGATCTGCTTGGGTTCATCCACTAAACAGGATGCCTGGGCTGTTCTGGTGAACACAGAACAGTACCTGTGTCAGTAAGGAGGAAAGCCAAATGCATGACTGGTAATTTTAACAATCTGCATTCACTGGGCTTACCCAAGAAAGCGGCTGAGGTACTGCCGACTGCAGGTGGACCAGGAAAAGACTCCGTTGTTACCAGCGAGAGTAGGGGACATAATGTTACCCTCGGTCTTACGGCAAGGGTTTCCCTCCCCATCATGGATCATACCAAAACTACAGAAAATGAAGATAAGAGAGTTCAGTCGCAATGAGATGTACGATAAATACACGGACTTGCATGTATTGTAAGCTGTTTGTGAGTAAAGGGGAAGTTTATGATAATGATAATTCACATTTTGATACTGAGACAAATGATAAAATGTTACAGGATTTTAAAGAAAATCAACATGAATTCTTTAAATTGGCTTGATTTAACTCCTTCTGATAGATTTCTATGTAAAGACCCTGCTGATGTCATTCGATTTGTT